AAGAAAAAAGAAGGGAAAAAAGAAAAACAAACAACATAAAAAAACCTATCTCTCTGAGTCTTTGCAACTTGGATCTGTGCTTAGAGATCAGTCCAAAGTGAAAGCATAGGATATTTAGAATATAGGTATTTGGTATGCGTACATTTTGCCGTAGTCATGCATATGGATTTCTTAGTTACCCCATATACACAGTGCTTTTGAAAGGATTAAATTCCACAAGAAACTCTCACATCAGCACTTCTCCTTCAGCCCTTAGAAGCCTACTGTATGCTTCAATCACACTAATTAGCCAGAGGTGATTTAGGGTACTGACAGCATGAGTTGCTCACTGCTTCCTCCCATCCTACAGGACCTTGGAAGCTGGCTAAACTGGGAGGATCGACCTTCTTCATTCCTTCAGGTAGCTCCCAGATAGACTAGAATAGACATATGCAACAGTTCGCCAGCAAAAGCAAAGCCTGTTCTGCACACTGCAGAATCAGAGAATGGCCCCCTCTCTGTGAGTACAGTTCATGGTCCACCATCACCACAGCTGCCACAGACACTGCTGTGGTGGAATTGGGGAGAGGGAAAGGCATCAGTGGTAGAAACATTTTCCTACTATTTAAAAGTGGCCTTTTCTTGATTTACAGTTTGTCTAATTGCTGCAACTCTCTGATTACTTTTTAGAGACCTTAAAGAGCTGAGTTTACTTTTTTTTGTTGTTTTCTTTGGTGATAGCATAGCAATAAGGAAGTGTAGAGCTGCTTATGTGCCATATTTCCAGAAGCTAGATACACCACATTTTATTTATCCACTCATCAGTGATGGATATTTGAAATATTTCCACTTTTTGGCTATTATGAATAATGCTCCTACATATATTTGTGTACAAGTTTTCATGTGCACATACATTTTCATTTCATTTGGGTATATACCTAGGACTGGAATTGCTGGGTCACATGGTAACTTTATATTTAAAACCTGGAGGATCTGTCAAAGTGTTTATCAAAGTGGCATTTTGTATCTTTTTGCTTTTAGGATGATGCATGCAGAGAAAAAAAAAAATCACTAGATCTTTGTTTAAAAATCCAATCAAAGAATCACTATCTTTTAAATGGGGAGCTTAATTCATTTATATTTATTGTAATTATTGCTACATTGGATTGATTTTATGTTTTTTTACTGTTATTGTTTAAATTTCTGTTTTGTTCTTCTTTTCTACCTTCTATTGTAAAGATCAAGTATTTTCCTACATATTTGAAACCTAAGCATTCTATTATTATTCCAAGGTTTAATCCTAACATATTAAGGGCCCTACTTATGTTTATTTTTCCCCAACACTTTTTAAATTTCACTGTTATCTTTTTCCTCGAACAATGCAAGTAATGCTACTCTCTCATCTTTCCTTGAACTACAACCTCCCTTCCATCCACTTTATGTTGAAATTGTCCAGAATTTTAGTTCTGGATGCCATGTATATACTTCTGAGAGGTATTTTTGATTACTTCAATAGTATTAATTTTTAAAAATTTTCAAATCATACTTAACTTCCATACTTCATAATTTTTCTTGATGTATTTCTGTAATAGCAAAATGTTTCAAGGAGGGTCTTTGTGTGTCAAATTTTCTTAGGCTTTGTATATCGGAGAATATTTTTAATTTACCTTCCACATATAATTGGCATATAAGCCAACTATAAAACACTTTGAAGATGCTACTTCATTTTCTTCTTGAAGCCAGTATTGCTATTGAGAAATTGTTAATCTGCTCATATTATTCTGTAGGCTTTCTCTCTCTCACTGGAATTTCTTAGAATCTTCCTTTTATCTTCGATATTCTTAAATTTCAATAAATTTTTTTTGTTTTGGTTGAGAAATCCCATACCCGAGGCTCCCAGGTACACAGGACATGCCTTAGAATGAAGCTGGAACAGGAGAATCTGGAAATATCTCCTGTCCCCACATACAACAGCAATCTATTGCTGGGGAAGGTACAAGTACACAGAGAGATACTCTCTGCGGTGCAGGTATGCAGGATCTACAAAAAGCTGAAGTGGAACAGGAATAGTGAGAAAAATACTCTTGGCACTCTAGGCCTCAAACTAAGCACAAGGTAGCAGCAGTCCACTGGAGGAATTTGAAGTCTGTGATGTACTGACGGTAACTATAGTAAAAACAAATTCCAAACCCAGCTCAATACTGACTAAACCCTCCCCCACACTCCCATACTCCAACAATCTGGAAGATAGGGCATGCCTATTTATAGGTATAAATATGATATACCTCAGTCTCTACTGTTGCTTTACACAATATCTGGCATTCAATTAAAAAACAAGTGACACATAAATAAGCACATAATAAGATAAAAGTCCCATTTCCAAGAGATAAAGTAGTTAGCATAACAGACCAAGATATGATCCAGGTGTTGGAATTATACAGGGAATTTAAAATAACTATGATTAAACTGGAGCCCTGGTTAAAGAGCTCAGCTGCTAACTGAAAGGTCGGTGGTTCTAACCCACCAGCAGCTCTGTGGGAGAAAGATGTGGCAGTCTGCTTCCATAAAGATTTACAGCCTTGGAAACCCTATGGGGCAGTTCTACTCTGCCTTACAGGGTTGCCATGGATCAGAATTGACTTAACAGCAGTGGGTTTGGTGATTAAACTATTAAAGCATTTAACATAAAAGGCAGAAAACATTCATGAACAAATAGGGAATTTTCAGCAGAGATAAAAATTATTAAAAAAAAAAAAAAGAGCCAAATGGAAATGCTAGAAATAAAAAACACTATCAGAAATGAGAATTCTTTCAGTTGGTTTACAGAAGACTGGGTGCAGCAGAGGAAAGGATCAGTGAATTGGAAGATAAATCAATAGAAATTATCTAAACATTAACACAAAGAGAAAAAGAATGAAAACAACAACAACAAATATAGCATCCAAGAGCTATGGGATAATATACCAATAAACCATTTCTAGGTGTGAGTTTTTGCTTTTCTTTCTTGTTTAATACGCCAGGATTCTATTCAATCTGAGGGCTTATATTTTTTCCAATTTTATGAAATCTTTGGTAATTCTTTCTTGAAATATGTCTTCCTTTCTTTATTATTTTTTAAAATTACTTTCTGGAATTTATGTCATATGGATGCTGATACTTGAACTTTTTATCTTACACATCTTTCAACTATGTGTCTGTATGTATGTGTGTACACACACTTATATATATTTAAATATACATACTATTTAATTTTTTAACCTGTACTGATGATGCATTCTGGGAGAGTTCTTTGACTGGCCTCAGAATTATTCAGCTAACCATTCTGGCATTCAACTCTTTTATCATGTCCTTTATTTTAACTATTAATTTTGTTACTCCCAGTTGATTCTTTTTAACTTTCTCTTCTTGCTTTCTTTTCAGTATTCTTTCTCTTTAAGAATGTTTTAATGTTTCTATTTTGAATTATATTTGGTCTGCTCTAACAATTCTACTTTATCTGGTTAAGTTGTTCAGCTTGTTCCCATTTTCTTTATAGTGGTTGAATTCCTCAGAATTCTCATTATTTTTCTGCTGCTAATAGCTGCTGTGGTTAAGAGCTATGGCTGCTAACCAAAGGGTCGGCAGTTCGAATCCACCAGGCGCTCCTTAGAAACCCTATGGGGCAGTTCTACCCTCTCCTATAGGATCGCTATGAATTGGAATCAACTAGCCAGCAATGGGTTTGTTTTTTGTTTTTTTTTAATAGCCGCCTCAGAGCTTTGGTTGTGCAGTGGTTAAGAGCTCGACTGCTAACCAAAAGGTCGGCAGTTCAAATCCACCAGTTGCTCCTTGGAAACCCTAAGGGGCAATTCTACTCTGTCCTATAGGGTCAACCATGAGTTGGAATTGACTTGACAGCAAAAGAGTTTGTTTTTTGTTTTTTTTTTTTTTTAAATAGCTGCCTCAGCCTATGATATGTACTTGAGATACGGAACTAAAATCTCAGGCCCTGACTTGCACTTCTGATTAATTTAAAAATGTGTTTCTGGGAAGAGAGAGGACACTCTTTAAGGCAGAGAACTTGTGTGTTAACAATCTGTATGTAACCTAGCTCTTGTTTAAGTACACTCTTTTTCTGTTTAATCACTTAAGCTTTAAGATTTGAAGAGGGTTGACGGTAGGAGGAAATATGTTTTTACCTGCTTCCTACCCCGGCCAGGATTTACTGCCAACATGATATTTTGTTACTGCTCTGAGCTATGCTGTGGTGCACTAATTGGCGATAGGAAGGACAATAGTCCATTCAGAGCCATGAGGAGAGGGGAAAGGGCAAACTTAAATACTTTTCCCTGTTTTATCTCCTGTTCATGGCACCCAACTCTCTTTCACTCACGATTATGGTCCTCTTCTGCCCCCCATGGGACCTAAGCATCTTATGTCACTCCAGGTATTTCTCACAATTTTTGTGTTAGTTTTGGGTTTTGGAGAGAGAGTTGGAAGCCTGTTCTAATTTGTCTTCTCATCAGGAACAGACAGAACCAGTATTTGAACGTAGGCATTTTGACTCTAGAGTCCATGCCTTTAGCCATAATGCTATACTGTTTTTTAAAAAATTTGTTGATGTCTTCTTACAAATGTTTCAGTACTGTCCATGTTTATACCTTTGCATAATTTCAAGTTCAACCTAGGATTTTGGACAGTTTCTTCCACTATTTCTATCTCTAAGAATCTTTTAAGAATGGCAAAAGCATTCTTACCTAATGGAGACCTTCTAAGGATTCTCTACAGTCATTTTTTTGTGACCCATAAACACTTATGTACAATATTAATTTACTTTTATTGATATTCTTTTATATAAATGATTTTTAGTTTGTTTCATATGCATATCTGCTTTTGGTTCAAATACACTGAAAATTTCTTGGAAGTAAAAAAGTGGCCTTTTCTTTATTTTCTTTTATAAAATCTAATAGAAGGTGATAAATAATTGGCATTGACTAGCTAAGATATAACACCATTAATATGATTTAGGGGGAAAAACTCACTTTGTCCAAAGCCTCCATTTTTACTCATGAATTCAAAGAAAGCATCAAGAATTCTACAGAGAGTTGTGATGATTGTTATATCCTGTACAGGAAATGGCTGAAATTTCTGATGCTTCTTTAGAAATTGTAGTCCATCTGTGACACTTTTTTTAATCATGAATTCAAGACAATCCACTCCTGTTTGACTCAGAATTTTTGAAGTTTTCAAAAGCCATGATTTAACATAGGGCTCCCATCCCAGATTAACAGGATCCTAATAAAAAGCACAAGATAATTTATGCAAATAAATAAAAATACAGTGCCCTCCTACTTTCTTACTTACTTTTTACTTACTAGATACTTGTAATACTTAAAAATATGGCTTAGAATCATCATTCATTACAGGGAGAATGATTAAAAACAGCTTGAAGAACTGCTTCTCACTGGAATGATTGATGGTTTATAACTGTGGCCTTACAAGAAAATAAGCAATTGGGGGATTCTGTGTATGGACGTGTATTGAGCCTGTGTATGTGGTGAGGGGAGCTGTTTACCCAGAGGGTCAGCTCTACAGTTAGCTTTATTCATTACATTCAGTTAAACAGACAATAGCACTAGAGCATAAGGCTAATCATGGCTAATAATTTTATGCATAGAAAACACTTATTTTTGTTGGCTCTCTGACCTCCTTACCACTGTCTTAGTAATGTTTCTACCAAGTCCTGAGTGATGAAAAAAAATTCACACCAGCAGCCTAGCCGGTCTGTTGAAAGCATTACTTATTCACAGTGGTGGAAAATACTGACCACTCCAATTACTAAGAGTAGTACTAAAAACAGTAGTAATTACACTCATATTCATTTCAGGGTTATGAAACTTTGGGGAACACACAGATTCTGAACTATTGGCTTCACCGTCCTGGATCCAGAAGTAAAAATAAAATAAACATAAACAATGCTGTCGATAATGTCTAGCTATTATCCTAAACAGCACATTTTATTTGTTATGAAATTTGATTTTGGACACTTACCATATACACCATTGCACATCGACTGACAGTGGCAGGACTGGCCTGAGAGAGGACATCTACTTCAAAAATCATTCTTATGTTATTAGTTAAAGCTATTCTCTCACTGTTTGCTAGGCACAATGTTCTAGTGTCATCTAGCACGGAGTTTAGATTTTCCACCCACAAAGTATCCACTGGGCCATCTAAAATAATCCACTGCCAATCAAAGTCTGGAGAGAAAAATATTTTTAATGTAGCTGAGATAATTTCATTACCATCTTGCACATATTCTACTTTATTTAAAAACACTTTCTAACCAAGATGAAAATGATCTCCTAGAAAACACTAGAGTGAATGTGTTAATATGTATTCTTCAATATTAAATATGAATAAATGTTCATACCACATACTTCATAACTCTTTAAGTGATGTTTAGATATTCTTAGATTGCTGAATTGTATAATTAGCCTTTAAAATGTGGATAGAAGAAAGATCCATGATATTATCTTTTCCTTAATAATATGGTTTGTTAATTTTCTCCTTCTACCCAAGAATATTGTTTGGAGATGCTGCTCCCAGGAAATAGCAAAGAGAAATAGATGTTCTTTTGAAGAAAGAATCAAATACACCGGGAATCCATTTATTTCTCTTTCCACACTCTACACCCACCATCCTGCTCCCTGATTTTAGAAAATCTGCTAGGCCAGGATGGGAGAGATGTGAATGGGCCACTACACAGACAGACACTGAAAGACACTGAAGGATCCCAGAAGAACAGGAGAGTAGAGCTAGGATCCATACAGCCACCACTGCTAAGACGGGACTCTGAACGGCTGAAATACCTACTGTGGGAATTGTATCAAAGCTCCAAGAAGCAAACTTATTATGCCCAATTACTGTCATCTCCCAATTGAATGCCAAAAAAATGACACATAAAAATTCAGGAATTCTAAGAAAGAAGCAGCTGCAGGAGTCTCTTTCAATGTCTGGAATACAAATATACTATCGATGAGTGTGCTGATATGAGGTTCAGCCTAGAGTAGTGAAAGCAATGGTTGGTGATCCTCCAGCAAACCGTCAGCTCCTTTGGAGCAGGCACCGTACCATATACACTGCCTCTTCTGCTGACATATAGCAATGTGACTGGTTTATAATGAGTATGCAATTCATTTTAGATGAATCTGCTTGGGTTGATTTGATGATTTGGCCTAAGAATGTACAGACCGTTTGGAGTCCCACTTCAGAAGCAATTCTACTGTATGCTGCCACTGCTTCTTCTCAAACCATTATTTATTTCTATCTTTAATATTTAACTGGTTCTTATGAGATATTAATGGTAATTTATAAACTGAAAGGGCTATGTAAGCCTTAGTAATTACATACCATAATTATATACATTCACAGTGTAATATAATGTTTGGTAATACTATAGAGATTTTAAACAAACACATGAGGGAAAGAATAGTACAAGAACAAAATATCACTAATCAAAAATATATTTTAATGATTGGAGTAAAGCTCATATTTGTTCAAAGTTTTTCTTCTACATTAATTAATCATATTTATTGAATTTAATAATAACACTTACTCTGATTTTCTGGAGTTTTAACATCTTTATCCACCTCCTTCTCAAAAATATTACCATCAATATCTGCTGCATCAGAGGAATCAAGTTTGAAAACCTAAAATATGCAATCAATAACTTTTAAACTTTTATTTGATGACACATTCCAACTCAAATTCACTATCTATCAATATGCTTTCTTGAGTGGTAAAAATATGAAAGGCAGAAGGTTCTGTAGCTGAAAAGACCAACAAATAACCAGCATAGTATAATGTAACTGACTTGTGACTCCAGGTCATTTCCTTTTAGAAAATTATTTTATTTTAGTTTCTTTTTTTCCCTGCAGAAATAGCATATGTCTTTTGTATAATATTCAAATAATACAGCAAAGCACAAAAAGAACGCAAAAGTTCTCTGAATTTCTACCACCTAAAGACAACCTCTTTGGGAAGGTAAGCAAGTTCCAGGCTCTTTCCAATTTTTATTCTTATTACAAAACTCTGCAACTGTCATCCCTGGACATAAGTCATTACGCTCTAGTGAATTTCCTTCTATAATTGATAGATTTGTTTTGAAGTGGGATTATGGGTCAAAAGTAACATGTACTTAAATTTTTAAATGAATTCTACTGGATTTCTTTCCAAAAGTTTGTGGCAATAACATTTCCACCAACAAAGAGTAAGAACATTTGTTTCTCCACATCCTTGCTAACACTAAATGTATTCACTAACAATATTTTTAAGTTTTGAAAATTTGATGATAAAAAAATGGCGCCTATCTTTGTTATCACTTTTAACTCTTTGACTAAGAGTTAAGTTGAACATATTTTCATATGTATATTGGCAATTTGTATTTATCGTTCTACCAATTTTCTATTGCCCTAACTCATTTCCTTATTTAGTTGTCTGACAGTTTCATACTTATTTTTGAAACTCCATTTTATATTAGGAGTAGTAACTAATTTTCCTATATGTTGTAAATATTTTCTTCTAGACTACTGTTTGTTTTTAACTTTGTGGTAACTATTGCAGAAATATTTTCTTATTTATAGTCAAATTATATTATCTTTTATGATTTTTGGATTTCCAGTCTTCCTCACTCTGAAAATATACCCCTAAATATTATTGTATATTTGTTTTATCTGTCCCTAAATATTATTGTATTTTTATAGTTTGATTTTGACACTTAAATTTTTAATTCATTTGGAATTTTATTTCTGTGTAGGTAAGAGTTTTTCTATGTTTTCACAGAGGAGAACAGCAATTATGAAAACAATGAATTAAATAAAGAATTATTTCCCCACTGATTATAAATATTACTTCAGTTGTGTATTAAATTCATATATATGTTTGAATATATACACACATATACACACACATACACACAGAGGAGAGAGAGAAATAGGTTTGTATTTCTCTAATGGCTAATGATCATGAGCATTTCCTCATGTGTCTGTTAGCCGCCTGAATGTCTTCTTTGGCGAAGTGCCTGTTCATATCCTTTGCCCATTTCTTAATTGGGTTGTCTTTTTGTTGTTGAGGTTTTGCAGTATCTTGTGGATTTTAGAGATTAGATGCTGATCAGATTTGTCGTAGCCAAATTTTTTTCCCCAGTCTGTAGATTGTCTTTTTACTCTTTTGGTGAAGTCTTTTGATGAGCATAAGTGTTTGATTTTTAGGATCTCCCAGTTATCTAGTTTCTCCTCTGATGCCTGTGCATTGTTACTTACAGTTCGTATTCTGTTTATGCCATGTATTAGGGCTCCTAGCGTCGCCCTTATTTTTTCTTCTATGATCTTTATTGTTGTCGATTTTATATTTAGGTCTTTGATTCATTTTGAGTTAGTTTTTGTGCATGGTGTGAGGTATGGGTCTTGTTTCAGTTTTTTGTAGATGGATATACATTTATGCCAGCACCATTTGTTAAAGAGACTGTCTTTTCCCCAGTTAACAGACTTTGGGCCTTTGTCAAATACCAGCTGTCCGTAGGTGGATGAATTTATGTCTGGATTCTCAATTCTGTTCCACTGGTCTATGTATCTGTTGTTGTACCAGTACCAGGCTGTTTTGACTACCGAGGACATATAATAGGTTCTAAAATCAGGTAGTGTGAGGCCGCCCACTTTGTTCTTCTTCTTGAGTAATGCTTTACTTATCCAGGGCCTGGTCTCTTTCCATATGCAGTTGGTGATTTGTTTCTCCATCTCATTAAAAAATGCCATTGAGATTTGGATTAGGATTGCATTGTATCTGTAGATTGCTTTGGGTAGAACTGACATTTTGACAATGTTGAGTCTTCCTATCCATGAGCAAGGTACGTTTTTCCACTTATGCAGGTCTCTTTTGGTTTCTTGCAGTAGTGTCTTGTAGTTTTCATTGTATAGGTCTTTTACATCTCTGGTTAGATTTATTCCTAAGTATTTTATCTTCTTGGGGGCTATTGTAAATGGTATTGATTTGGTGATTTCCTCTTCGAGGTTCTCTTTGTTGGTGTAAAGGAATCCAACTGATTTTTGTATGTTTATCTTGTATCCTGATACTTTGCTGAAATCTTCTATTAGTTACAGTAGTTTTCTTGTGTGTTCTTTGGGGTTTTCTGTGTATAAGATCATATCATCTGCAAATAGAGATACTTTGACTTCTTCCCTACCAATTTGGATGCCCTTTATTTCTTTTTCTAGCCTAACTGCCCTGGGTAGGACCTCCAGCACAATGTTGAATAAGAGTGGTGATAAAGGACATCCTTATCTGGTTCCCGTTCAAGAGAGAGAGATTGGGATGAGTTAGTCTTGAATATTTGACAGAACTTGACTCAAATCATTTGTGTTTGTATAAATTTTTAACTACAATACAATGTTCTTTATAACTATATATTGAAGTACATGCAGTTTTGCCAATCTGATATCCATTCACTTCTCATTTCTTGATAAAATCCCAACTTTGTTTGTGGCAATGTAATGGATCATGACTAATGTAAACAATTATGGCAGTCCTGTTTACCATTTTCCCATAATCCATTTCTGCTCAAAGTGGTCACAATACTTTATCTGGCCAATAAGATCAAAGTGAAGAAGGTGCCAAGGAGTTTCTAAGAAAGCTTTTATTCTCCTTATTAAAGAGGAACATTGTTGCTGGCACTCTCTTTCCTTCCTCCTTCTACAACCATGAAATAAAAACATATTATCAGGTTAAGGACGGTAATTCAGAAATGCAAAAAATTCAAGTCCCTGCTAAGTTTATTCATGTTGTCTCTCTTTCCTTGAGTCAGTTTGATAAATACATTTTTCTAGGAAATTGCTCATTTAAGTTTTTTAATTTATTGGCAGAAAGTTTTCCATAGCATTCTTTCATTATGTTGAAACTGCTCTATTGTTATGGCCTGTTTTTGAAGTTTTACATTTATTTTTACCCTCTTATTTCTTTCTTAAGCAATCTTGCCAGAGATTTGACTATTTCACCAGTCTTTTCAAATAACTAGCTTTTGCTTTTGTTGATTCTCTCCACTTATCTTTTATATTATTATCTTCCATCTGTTTTCTATATATTTACTATTGTTTTTTCTCTTTTCTTGAGTTGGATGCTAAGCTTAATAATTTCCAGTCATTAATTATTTCACCCAATATACTTACTTCTGAATTCCACTTTAGTGCTATTTTTCATATATAAAATTTCCAGAATGGGTCAGTTCTAAGTATTTTCAAATTTCTGATATGACTGATTCTTTGAGCCATTACTGAGTTTAAAATTTTCAAATATATATTTTTTCTTTGCCTTTCTAGAAGTTGGTCTTGATACCAATTCTTTGAAATGTGTTGAGTCTTGTTCAATTCTATACCACAACATCAATTTTTATAATTATCCATGCTTGCCTGTAAAGAATGCATATTATCCAGTTGATGGGTGTAAGGGTCTATTTGTATCTCCTTTATATTAACCGTATTAATTATGTCATTCAATTTTCCTACATTTTTACTAGTTTTGATTTGCTTGTTCTATCAATTGTAATAAAATTTCTCACTGATTGCTGATTTGTCAATTTCTCTATGAAATTCTGTCAGTCTTTTTATTTTTTCAGAGTATGTCATAAGCATATATTAGTTTAGAATTGCCATCATTTTATGCAATAACACACTGGTTTAGTCTAATTTTATAACAACTCTTTTTACAGGTCTCATCACCTTCCAGTTCTTCTTCTTCTTCAGGAGTGTCATGGACCTTGGCTCGTCCATAAAAATTTTAGAATCAGCTTGTTAGCGTCTTAAAAAAAATAATCTCACTTCACAATTTTAAAGCTTACTACAAAGCTACAGTAATTAAGACAGTGTAGTATTGTTGTTGTTGTTGTTAGGTGCCATCAAGTTGGTTCCGACTCATAGTGACACTATGTACAACAGAACGAAACACTGCTTGGTCCTGTGCCATCCTCACAATCATTGCTATGTTTCAGCCCATTGTTGCAGTCACTGTGTCAATCCATCTCTTTGAAGGTCTTCCTCTTTTTTGCTGACCCTCTACTTCACCAAGCTTGATGTCCTTCTCTTGATTCCTCCTGATAATTGGTCCCTCCTGATAACATGTCCAAAGCACGTGAGAAGAAGTCTTGCCATCCTCCTTCTAAGGAACATTCTGGCTGTACTTCTAAGACAAATTTGTTCATTCTTTTGGCAGTCTATGGTATAGTCAATATTCTTCACCAACATCAAAATTCAAAGGTATCAATTCTTCTTCAGTCTTCCTTATTCATTGTCCAGATTTGCATGCATATGAGGTGATTGAAAATACCATGGCTTGGTATTGGGTCAGGCGCACCTTAATTCTCAAGGTGACAGCTTTACTTTTTAACACTTTGTTGTTGTTGGGTGCTGTTGTATTGGTTCCGACGCATAGCGACCCTAGGTACAACAGAGGTCTTTTGCAGTAGATTTTCCCAAAGCAATACGTTGTTTGATTTCTTGAACACTGCTTCCTTGGGCATTGATTGTGGATCCAAGTAAAATGAAATCCTTGACAACTTCAATATTATCTCCATTTATCATGCTGCTGCTTATTGTTCCAGTAGTGAGGATTTTTGTTTTCTTTATGTTAAGATGCAATCCATATTGAAAGCTGTAGTCTTTGATCTTCATCAGTAAGTGCTTCAAGTCCTCTTCACTTTCAGTCCAATCCTGGTGCTCTGTTCTTCTTCATATAGTCGAGCTTCTTGGATTATTTGCTCAGCATGCAGATTGAATAAGTATCGTGAAAGGATACAACCTTGATGCACACCTTTCCTGATTTTAAGTCACACAGTATCCCCTTGTTATGTTCCAACGACTGCCTCTTGGTCTATGTACAGGTTCCACGTAAGCACATTTTTCTGGAATTCCCATTCTTTGCAATGTTATCCATAATTTGTTATTGTCCACACAGTCGAATGTCTTTGCATAGTCAGTAAAACACAGGTAAATACCTATCTGGTATTCTCTGCTTTCAGTCAAGGTTCTGACATCAGCAATGATATCCCTCATTCTACATCCTCTTCTGAATCTGGCTTGCATTTCTGGCAGTTCCCTGTCAATGTACTGCTGGAACCATTTTTTAATTGTCTTCAGCAAAATTAATGATATTGTTAGATAATTTCTGCATTCTGTTAGATCACTTTTCTTTGGAATGGGTACAAATATGGATCTCTTCCGGTCAGTTGGCCTAGCAGCTGTCTTCCAAATTTCTTTGCATAGACAAGCTAGCACTTCCAGCACTGCATCTATTTGTTGAAACGTCTCAATTGGTATTCCATCAATTCCTGGAGCCTTGTTTTTTGTCAATGCCTTCAGTGCATCTTGGACTTATTCCCTCAGTACCATTGGTTCTTGATCATATGCTACCTCTTGAAATGGCTGAATGTCAACCAATTCTTTTTGGCACAGCGACTCTGTGTATTCCTTCCATCTTCTTTTGATGCTTCCTGTCTCCTTCAATATTTTGCCTATAGAATTCTTTAATATTGCAACTCAAGGCTTGAATTTTTTCTACAGTTTTTTCAGGTTGAGAAATGCTGAGCATGTTCTTCCCTTTTGCTTTACTAACTCCAAGTTTTTGCACATTTCATTATAATACTTTGTTTTCTTGAGCTGCCCTTTGAAATCTGCTGTTCAGCTCTTTTACGTCATTTCTTCCTTTTGCTTTAGCTACTTTACCTTCTAGAGAAAGATTACAGCCTTAGAAATCCTATGGGATAGTTCTACTGTACCTTATAGGGTTGCTATGAGTTGGAATAGACTTGACGGCAACATGTTTGGTTTTGGTTTGTATGTAATGATTCACTTCTCTCTTGCTGCTTACAAGACTTTTTTTTTTTTTTAAATCTTTGGTCTTCAGGAGTTTGATTGTAATGTGTCCCAATGTGGATCTCTTTGGGTTTCCTACTTGGAGTTTATTCAGCTTCTTGGACATGTAGATTCATGTCTTTCATCAAATTTGTCACATTTTCTGCAATTATTTGTTAAACATTCTTTCTGCCCCTTTCTCTGTTTCTTCTCTTTCTGAAGCTCCCATAATGCATGTTTTGGTCCAATTGCTGGTGTCCCACAAATCCCTTAGGCTTTGTTATTCTTTTCTTGCTTCTCAGACTGGAAAAGTTCAATTGTTCTATCTTCAAGTTTGCTGACTCTTCTGCCAGCTCAAATCTGCTGTTGAATCCTTCTGGTGAATTTTTAACTTCAGTTATACTTTTCAGCTCAGTATTTTTGTTTGGTTCTTTGTTTCAATTTATATCTCTATTGGTATTTTTTGTTCATGCATTGTTTTCCTGATTTCCTTGAGTTCTTTGCCCATTTTTTCCTTTAGCTCTTTGAGCACATTTAATACTACTGTTTTAAAGTTTTTGTTTAGGAAGTCTGTTATCTGGGCTTCTACAGGGACTGTTTCTGTCACTTTACTTTGTTCTTTTTAATAGGCCATTGTTTCCTGTTTCTTTGTATGTCTTGTGATTTTTTTTGAAAACTGGACATTTGAATATTATAATGTAATAATTCTGGGATTTAATTTCTCCCCTTTCCCCAGGGTTTGCTCTGTTTGTTTTTTTAAAATGTTGAAGACTGCAGTAGTCCATTTGTTTAGTGATTTCCCCTATTTTTGAAAACAATGCCTTCCTGGTCATGTGTCAGCACTGAAGTCTCTGTTCCTTAGCTTGTGTTCAGCTAGTTTTTTACAGAGATTTTCTTGAATGTTGGGTGGCAAAGGAAACCTCTTGCATATTGGCTGTGTGCCAGGGCACTACTTCAACACTTAACCATGCTTACACTGAGGCTAGGGATCAGCCTGAGGTAAAAACATAGGGCCTTCTCAGGTATTTTCTGAGCATGCATCTTGCCCTGGGCATTCATGTGGCTTTCTCATTTTCCCCTTATAACACAGTGGTTTTGAACACTTGAACTTCCTTAAGAAACCTTCTACCTGGCTTCTCCTCCCAGTCCTTGGGCTCCTACTGTATGACTTAATCACAATCTTTAGCTCCAGGTGGTTACAGGTGGTTAGAGCTCTGGGCATTGCCTGATGATTTTCCACCTTCATGAGCTCTGAGATAGGCCACACAGAAAAAAAAATGCCTTGCTTCAGTCCTTTAGGTAGTCTCCAGACAGGTTAGGAGAGACACAAAATAACTTATGAAGCTTTGCTCTCTCTAGAATCAGCGATCAGGATCCCTCTGCAGAAATATCAGCTAGTATTGCTTTAAGATAGCCACCAAGCTGGGGATGGGGTGAGGCACAGACACATAGAAAACCAAAGATTTCCTACCCTTTTGAAGTCATCTTTTTCTTGATTCAGCATTTTCGTAGTTGCTGTAACCCTTTAACTGCTTACAGAGTTCTGACAAAGTTGGTTCTGCCAGTTTCTGCTTGTCATTTTTGATGTATCTGTGGAAACCCTGGTGGCATAGTGGTTAAGAGCTATGGCTGCTAACCAAAATGTCAGCAGTTTGAATCCACCAGGTGCTCCTTGGAAACCCTATGGGGCAGTTCTACTCTGTCCTATAGGGTCACTATGAGTTGGAATCAACTCAATGGCAGTGGGATTTTTTTTTTTTTGGTATATTGGTATTGGTGCTGACAGAATCACTAATCTACATACAATCCTATATATGATATATATAAATTAAGTTATGCCTTGTTCTCTCTGTGTTCATTTAAAAGCAAATACATTTAACATCATTCTATTGTTTACTATTTTAAAACTCAATGGCATATTTTCTGTCGTTTTATAGCCTTGATTTTTCTGTTTTTTAACTGTTCTTAATAATTTTTAAATTTACTTTTACATTAATATCTAATGATGCTTAATATCAAGTATTTTGATAAGCAATTAAATATTCCACGAGTCAAATAAAAATATTCATTACATACTAAACTTACATTAGATAAATCTGAGATTCTTGACTTTAATCCAAGATCCATGTCTTTTTTTGAGCGCCCTTTCCTGTTAAAATGTACATAATTTCTAATTGTTGCTGATAATAACCCATCAGTCCACTCCATTGTATTAGGATTCAATTGCCCATATAGTTCACCAAGAGTGATACACTTTGGATTTAAAACACAAATATCTACTTTTCCTTTTCTTCCTGGAATCTGAAAAAATCCAAAATGGTTTTTAAAGCATTAACTATAGTACAATTATTTATTTATTATTTTATTTTATATTGTTATTATCAAAGGATTTTAGGAGAGATCACTCACGCCAAAGCTTGAAGATTCTCTATACAAGTGGCAATTTGCAAGGAACAGTAAAAACTGACTTATTAAACTTAGCTATAATACACATATAATTATTTAAAAAAAATTCTAAATACAATTGCACTTCTTAGAATAAAACGGAAAAAAAAATTCCATTGTGCCTCATCCAGGAACTCAGTATATGAGCAGGTATGTGGTGTGTCTGGAGCCAAGGTCGAGTATAGAGGTGAGGTAAAGTAGAACATACTTTTAAGCTTCATGTCAGAGTTGGCACTGAAGATAAAATTCTTTTTAACTCTGGTGAAATACTTCCAAAGGATATAAAATCCACCCATCATTGCAGAAATCTCTGAAAGATAGTACGCTCACTTGGTATGGGGTAAAGAATTTAACTTTACCCTAAGAATTTGGTGTTTGTCCTTGGTTCCTAAGTTTACAACCTCCAAAATCTTGGAATTTCCCCAGCGATTGAAGTGTCTTTGATGAAGCCTCCAGATCATACCTGAGAATTTATGCTAATGAGGTACCTTTTGGGTGGAGGTTGGCCAGGCCAGAAATACCACTGTGTGATATCAGTTGACCTCAGAGAGGGGAGGGCATGGTTCAATCAACAATGCCTATACTATAAAGCCCCAATAAAGGCTGTGGACGTGGAAGCTCCATGGGCTTTTTGTTGGTGATAGACATCGATATGTGTGTGTGGGAGGAGGGATAACGCATCCCTTTTTGGGACACAAGAAGCTCAGTTTTGGGAATCCTCCTAGACCTCATCCTGTACACCTCTTTATTTGTGTCCTCTTTGCTATAATAAAGCTATAATTGTAAGTCTAGCACTTTCCTGAGTTCTGTGAGTCATTCTAGCAAATTATCAAACCTGAGGGAGTTGAAGGAGCCAGAATGTCAGAAGTGGAGAGGTCCTGGGAACCCCTGAGCTTATGACTGTCATGCTGAAGGGGTAGTGGGAAAACCCCAACTTTGTAGCCAGTAGGTAAGAAGTGAGTGTCATGGGGACTCTCAAGCTTGTGGCTGGCATTTGAGGTCTTGGGAAGACTTGGTAGTCTGCAGAACTGTATTCTTTAACTTGTGAGAGCTGACCTAGCCCCAGGTGGTTGGATAAGAGGAAGAAGTAGTACAGATATAGCTGACTTCAGAACATAGTGGAACAGAACTGATAATAGACTGCATTTATTTGATCCTCACATTTGGTGTCAGAGATGTGGGAATTGATCTGATTTTCCCAGCCCTTGGTAATAAATATTATGTTTTTATGAAGAATCCAAATTTAAATGAGAGCAAGAAGTTTGGGAAAGTTTATTCTTTTCTTTAGGATCATTTTCATTTTCTATAAAAATCATGAGCCAAAAACAATTTCTATACTTTCCTTGACAAAAATCTGTAATATTTTCAATAGGATATCTCCAACGTTGATATCATTAGCATTCACTCAGACTCAATAGTAAGACAAAATTTTGATGTAACAAAATGTTTCTCAACTTACTATAATTTCAGAAACTTGGTATTTCTATTTTCATCACTTACAATGATGAAACATAAAATTTAACTAAACTCATTTACTCTCCCTCTGGAATCAGTCATTTCTCAAACCTAATATTTACAGGCACTGTAATTTTTCATTAAGTAAGGTGAAACAAAAGTCAGACTGCATAGTGAGATAAAAATTTTTATTGTGACTTTATCAAAATAAAAATTATTTTAAAATGGTAAAAATTAAATTTCACTTAGGTATATATTTGGGGAGCCCTGGTGGTGCAGTGGTTAAGAGCTCGACTGCCAACCAAAAGGTCAGCAGCTCAAATCCACTAGCTGCTCCTTGGAAATCCTATGGGGCAGTTCTACTCTGTCCTATAGGGTTGCTATGAGTTTGAATTGACTTGATAGCAATGAGTTTGGTTTGATTACACATTTGGAGGACTGGTGGCACAGCCTAGCTGCTAATTGAAAGATCAGTAGTTTGAACCTACCAGTCGCTCCATAGGAGAAAGATGTGGCAGTCTGCTTCTGTAAAGATTACAGCCTTGGAAACTCTATGGGGCAGTTCTATTCTGTCCTATAGGGTCGCTATGAGTCAGAATTGACTCGACGGCAACAGGTTTGGTTTTGGTTGGTATATATTTCATGGATTATCTTTACTTAAAAAAAACCATAAAGAGAATTAAAGAAACACAAAAATCTATCTTGTCTATATATGGACATAATACATTATGTATAATACCGTATTATAGTATATTATCATGCAACTTAATATCAAAAATATACAAAGAACCCTTAAAACTCAACAATAAAAAGACAAACAATCCAATTAAAAAATGGTTAAAGGGCTTGAAAATAAATTTCTCCAAAGAAGATATACAAATGTTCAATAAGCACATGAAAAGATGTTCAACATCATTGGTCATTAAGGAAATGCAAATAAAAATCACAATAAGATACTATTTCACACCCTCTAGGATGGCTATAACCAAAAAGTCAGATAATAACAAGTGTTGATGAAGATGTAGAGAAACTGGAACCCTCAACCATTTTACAGGTGTAAAATGGCATATACCTGCAGAAATCAGCGTGGCTGCTCCTCAAAAAGTAAAACATACAATTACTATATGACTCATCAATTTCATCCCTAGGTATATAGTCAAGAGAAATGAAAACATATGTCTACATAGAAATGTGTACACAAATCTTTATACTAGCATTATTTATAATAGTCAAAAGGTAGAAGCAACCAAAATGTCCATCAACAAACAAATGAATAAATGGATAAATCAACTGTGGCGTATGCATACAATGGAATATTATTCAACGATAAAAAGGCGTGAAGCACTGATAAATCCTACAACTTGGACAAATCTTGAAAACATGAAGGTAAGTGAAAGAAACAGACACAAAAGGTCACATATTGTATGTCTCCTTTTATATGATAAATCCACAACTGATAAATCCACAACAGGAAAATCCACAGAGACAGAATGCAGATTAGTGGTTGCCAGGGGATAGTGAGGGAGAAATGTGGAGTTATTACTTAATGAGTTGGGGGGCTCTTCTGGGGTGGTGAAAAAGTTTGAAACTAAAGATAAGTGGAGGTTGCACATCAACGTGAATGCACTAAATGCCACTGAATTGCACACTTTAGAATGGCTAATTTTGTTATGTGAATTTCATCTCAATAAACAAAAAAGAATATAAATAATTTAAGCTTCCATTTTATGAATCTAGAAGAACATAATTAAACCAAATCAAACAGAAGTAATGAAATAATAAAGACAATATTAGAAATCAATAAAATAAAAAAAAAAATAGAGAAAATCACTGAAATTAAAAGCTTATTCTTTGAAAAGATCAATAAAATTGACAAACTTCTAGTAACGCTACCAAAAGAAAAAGAGAAAACT